TGCGGTAGTACCGTGGCACCAGGCCAGGTTCCGGAGCAGGAGCGGAGGTAGGGGCGGATGTAATTTTTTACATCCGCACCCTGCATGGTAGTACCGCAACCTCGGTCGTAGTAGTTCCGTGTCGGATTTGTGCACGACATTTTCTCAGCGGAGGTAGTCACGGATGTAATTTTTTACATCTGTGCCTATCAGGCCTGGCCCGTGTCTGCCTTGCGGAAGTACCGCATGGGGCCATGGTAGTACCGCTCCTGCGGATCTATCGCGCCCTGTCGGTGCTCCTTTTTGCCTGGTCAGGTCTCTGTCGTGCTCGCGGTAGTACTGCGGTCCACCATGGTAGTACCGCAGGCCAGTGCGGTAGTACCGCGCCTGTGGAGCGATAGTTCCGTGGGCCGCGGGCTGAGTGGTGGGCAACGGTTGGAATTGTCCCCCACTATAAAAGGGGGGTCTTCTTCTCCAAGAAGACTCACCTCTTCTAACCCTAAACTCCATTGTTGCTCCAAGCTCCATTTTCGCCCGATCTCTCTCCCTAGCCAATCAAACTTGTTGATTTGCTCGGGATTGGGTGACAAGGGCCCGGTCTACACTTCCACCAAGAGATATTCGATTCCCCCCACTTATCCCTAGCGGATCTTGTTACTCTTGGGTGTTTGAGCACCCTAGACGGTTGAGATCACCTCGAAGCCATACTACATTGTGGTGAAGCCTCGTGGTGTTGTTGGGAGCCTCCAAGTGTTGTGGAGATTGCCCCAACCTTGTTTGTAAAGGTTCGGTCGCCGCCTTCAAGGGCACCAATTGTGGAATCACGGCATCTTGCATTGTGTGAGGGCATGAGGAGATTATGGTGGCCCTAGTGGCTTCTTGGGGAGCATTGTGCCTCCACACCGCTCTAACGGAGACGTACTTCCCTTTAAAAGGAAGGAACTTCGTTAACACATCCTTGTCTCCACCGGCTCCACTCTTGGTTATTGCGTGCCTTTACTTTTGCAAGCTTACTTGTGTTGCATCTATTGCTTGCTTGTGTGCTAGTTGTCTTTGCATCATATAGGTTGTCCATATAGTTGCATATCTAGACAACCTATTTTATTGCAAGGTTTAAATTGTTAAAGAAAAGCTTAAAAATTGTTTGTTGCCTATTCACCCTCCCTCTAGTCAACCATATCGATCCTTTCAACTGGATCAAGAGTACGAGGGACGTCTCTGAGCTGAACGTGTGTTGATCGCAGAGGTGCCGTATGTTTGGTGCTTGGATCGGTTGGATCGCGAAGACGTTCGACTGCATCAACTGCGTTAACTAAATGCTTCCGTTTTCGGTCTACGAGGGTACGTGGACACACTCTCCCCTCTCGTTGCTATGCATCACATAGATAGATCTTGCGTGATCGTAGGAAAAATTTTGAAATTACCGCGTTCCCCAACATTATTTGCTCTCTCAGGCCTTGCCTCAAGGGGAGTGACAGTTGCCCATCGCTCCTCCTCGCGCGTCCCGCACGCGGGGGCTAGCCAGGTGTGTGCGGCTGGGCTCGCCCGCGAACACACCTCGTCAAAGCCTCAGTTCCTTGGCCTTTTGGCGTCTTCATCTTTGCACGACGCTATCAAACGAGCTCACGGGCACGATGCCCCCGAAGTCTCCTAATCCTGCAACTGCAGGGTGCCCCCTGAGGCCCAACAACTTCCGAGTCCCCTTGCGGCAAGGCGCACTCTCGCGGCCCGGCGCCCACCACAGAAACACTAAGCTAAGTCATCCCAATCACAATCAACGGCGACACGAATACTAGGAGGCAATATAAAAGCAATAGCATAATGGCACAAGTGCCATGGTCTATTACATGCCCCGACACGGCCTTCCACCTCTTTTTTTATGCGGGAGAAGGAAAGAAGCAAAAGCGGCCGCGCGACTACAGCGACTCCTGAGACTCGGCCCCGGTTGCGTCCGCGCTTAATCGGAGTCTTCCTCCTGCTTCACTGGGGCGCGGCGGCGAGGCGGCTCGTCTCCCTCCCTAGTCCGAGCGCGGCGGCGTGGCGGCTCGTTGAAGTCGTCGTCGCTCGTGCTCTCCCCGAAGGAAGAGCCGCCGCTGTTGAAGGCGCCGCAGCCGTTGCCAAGGGCAAGCTCACCACTAGAGATGGCGTCGCCCCTCTCGTCGTCGTCACTGTCGCTCTCGGGGCAGCACCCCAGGCGCCGGCCGTCTTCCCCAAATACCCTCACGTAGAGGGTCGCGGCGCCGTTGTACCGGAAGTGGAGGTTGCACCTCCCGTGCAGACCCCGCGCGCGGGCAAATGGCTGCCACCCGCGGTTCAGGAGCACGTTGCCGATGGCCGTGATCTCAACCTCCACCCACAAGGCCTTGCTGCAGCAGTCATTCGCCTGCAGCCAGAGGCCACTGGGCCCCCCGGCCGGTAGCACACCCGCGAAGAAGCGCGGGAGCTGGAGCTAGATGCCTACGGGCCTTTACACCCACACCACGAACTCCGGGGATGCGTCGGTCAAATGGGACAGCGGGCGCGGTGGCCGGACGGCCGCTACGCCCTCCCATCTTCGGCACGGCTGTCCCGGCCGCGGCAACTCCCGCCGTGGGAGGGCGCACCCCCGCGGCTGCCGAAGGCGGTGCCCGTCTTTGAGGGGGTACGCCCACGCCCTTGGGGGGGGGCACCGTCAGCGTCGCAGCATACTTGCGGGGACGGCTGTGCCCCCTCTTGGGCGGCGGCGAGTCTGGTCCCTCCTTCAGGGGCTTTCCTTTCTTCGTGGCGGAGAACCTCCTCACCGGCGCCATGGATGCTCTGGCAAGACGGCGCAACGAGAAGAAGGAGAAGTGAGGGGCCAGAAGACGAAGATGGTCGGGGGCTCCGACCCTTCCCCCATTTATAGTCTGAGGAAGGCCAACCGCTGCCCTCCCACGATTCCAAGTAATTATGGTCTTTCTGCATGCAACAGGCAGTTGTCAAGCCGGGCAGTTGCCGAGGCGGCGTGGGGAAGTGGATATGCCCACATCCCATCAAGCGCCACGCGTCGACTCAGTCCGCAGGCGATTGGGGACCGCGGCGCTTCACCCTTGCCCCATGGCTTCGCCTCCAAGCCAAGCGCGTGCCAGCCTTGGGCCCGGGGGCTACTGTCGGTGTTCTGGGAACCAGGGTACCCAGACTTGCCTGCCTGCGGCCCACGGCATGGCTCCATCGACGGTCTGGTATGACCCATCTTCAACATCGACAAGACAAGACCCTCGCGAGGGGCCAAGCCTCACGAGGCGGACGGCACCAAGACCTCCGAAGGGAGCGGCCTCCTCAGGCGGCCTCCTGAGGAGCGGAGATTCCTATGCAAGTGCTCACCTCATGAGGCTGAGGTGATGCAAGCCATGACGACCAAGGCCAGGCGGGCGCCAGCGGGTGCAGAGCAGCATGTTTCCACTTTTGTGCTAAGGAGGCAAGCGCAGGCGCGGGGTCCCGAGGAATCAGCTAAAGTTTTTCATTCCCGTGCTACAAGACCAAGGTCGCTAGGACGGCAGGATGGATGTCATCGCCGAGCCCAGCACGGCGTCACAACCAGAACCTTTGCAGGCGAAGACCACCTTTCGTCAGGATAGGATGTACTACTTGTTCCCCTTCAAAGTTGGCCATTGTGGGATCCCTTCCCGCCTAAGTTTGGGAAGCTACCACAACCACAATAAGGAACCTCCTGAGATAGTTCTTCCACTGTACTAGTTCATCCTCAGCCCCTCACGAGGCAAATCCACCACAAAGCAGGAGTAGGGTCTTACACCGCATGGTGGTCCGAACCTGGGTAAACTGCCGTGTCCATTTCCTTTCTTGTTCATCGAGTTAGGTCGTGAGAGCAATGAGTTGGCTGGCTAGAGAGGTTGAGTTCTTTGCACACACCCCAGAGTTTGAACCTCTTTTGGGTCTGGGGAGCCCTGAATCCGACATGTTGGCCTCGAATTTTTTTTGCATGGTAATATGTGTCTCATTTATATAAAATAAAGATCATGTTACAAGGCACGTAAGCACGGACCATACATAACTCAAAAGATAGAAAAATTCTATGCAAAATACCAGACTGAAGCGGCCATCAAAGGATAAAAAGACAGATCACCTCTTCACCCAAACTCGATGTGGCTCCATCGCTGATCAACAGCATTACGGACCTCCAAAGTAGTTTGCCAAAAGCAAAACCATAGCCGTTGAAAGAATCAGACCGGGGCAACATGTCCACGGACACGCCATCTAACTTCAGAGCTAACACCCCGCATGATGACGACGTCGGAGGAGAAAACCAGAACTGTCAGCCTTCGACCACAGACCCAACACAAGATACTCCATCTTCCAGATGTCACTTGCGTAGACAACCGCCTGCACGTACTCCTGAATGGCAAAACCTCTTTGCTCCACCATGACGTCGGAGACAACGCCGCAACAACGGGGACAGAGCAGAAGGAGAGACACACCTGAAGGAGTCGCCGCCGCCGTCTCGCCAACACCATCCATGAACCCTAACGTTGTCGATCTGAGGGACCGACAAAGACACGATGCCATCAACTCCGAGACGCTGCCATGAAAGACACTGCCGGCGTGGGAGTGAAGTTGAGACAGATTTATTCGTCCAGGCGCAACGACGCACCACGACCTACAAATCCAAACCCTACCTACAGAGCGGAGAAATGGGGTCCCCCGTCCCTCCTGCCGCCGGAGCAGCGGTCGAAGGGAGAGGGGGCCAGCGCCCCGGCCGGTGAAGATCGGAGGAAATAGATCGCCTCTCCTAGAACGCCTGGTGGTGGCGGCGGCTAGGGTAGGAACACGCTATTGGTTTTTTACTGTTGGCCTCGGATGCATCCTGCCAAAATGCCACGTTACGTATTGGCCTCGGATGGATTCAGGACGGCAATTTTTGCTCTGTTTGCTCTCAGATTGTTCAATCCGACCCGGATTCCTCAGAGACCAACGCGGCTATATCCAACGTTCCTGTGCTCCCTGATCAGCGAGCCGGGGAAGAAGGCCCGCCCTCTGCATGCGCGATGCCTCCGCCGCTGAAGGACATGCTGCCGCCCGCCGCGGCGGCGACCGAGTGCCGGCTCACCGGACTAGGCACGATCAAGAGACGCACCAACCAAAGCAAACGCCACCCGTGCACAGTGCGCGTGCACGGCCACCTCACCGTCGTCTACGGGCTGCTGGAGCTGGGGGGCTCACGCACCAGCCGGCCCCTCCACCACCTCCAGGTCCAGTACGATGAGGACGCGCCCCGGAGCTTCGACCGCACGTTCCTGCTCAACGACCCCAGGACCTTCTTCCGGAGCCGCTCGGCCTGCCGCGACGGGATCAACCAGATGCTCACGCGGACGCCGGCCCTCCGCGACTTCGACCTCGCCGCCGCCAACTGGGACGGCGGCTTCCTGCCCGACGACCTCGCCGGAACCATCACGGGGAGGGCCCGGCTCGACGAGGAAGGCCATCACGGCGGCAACGCGCCGCGCTTCAGCCTCGACCTGTCCCTGACCGTCTTCGTGCGGGCCGTCTGCAGCGAGGCCAAGCTGCTGGCGCTCGCGTGCAGGGAGGCCACCGCCCAGTGTGGGCTGTCCGTGGCGGACCGCTGCTGCTGCTGCATATGTCAGGATCAGGATATCGCGGCTGCTGAGGGCGGCGGCGACGACGAAGGCACCGTGAGGCTGCCATGCTCACACACGTTCCACGTCCGCTGGCTTGCGCGGTGGTTCGAGGCGGTGACGACGTGCCCCCTGTGCCGCCGTGACATGGTCGTCCACCTTGAGGCCGTCTACACACACGATCGAGAGCAAGGCCGTAACCGAGAAACTAAAGGCCCTATACAAGTATAAGATTGGACCCTGATTGCTAAAAGAACAAGTAATAAGTTCTTGTTCATTCAGCATATAGACATTTCAGCTAAAAAAGCATATAGATATTACAGTTTTCTCTCAGAATTATTGGAAATGCTAAAAGGGGAGTGACGGGGAAATGGCAATGTAATCATATACTTACAAAAGAAACTATTTTCATGTACATTTGATTCATTTCACTCCATAATCTGCCAAACTAACCAGCCAACACTTTCATCATCTCTCTTCGAGTATGTATATATGACGTTTGTGTTCACACAAAAGAAGAAGAACAAAAAAATCAACAAGGAAAAAAAAAAGGCCTGCACCAAGCATAGCCGGAGGGGCTCAGTCGGAGTCGTCGCGGTCGTGCCAGCAGAGGAGCATGGACACGCACCGCCCCAGGATGTACAGCCTCGTCTTGTGCTGCTTCAGCATGGCGCAGCACCTGCCCTGCCGCGGCCGCCGGGAGCGCCTATGCTGCGGCGCCGCCGTCGTCGTGACGAGGTTGCTGTACGCCGTGCGGACGGAGTGGGGGACGGAGGCGGCCGGGAGCTCCATGTTTTGAGGCGAGCGGGGCGTCGCGGCCTAACGAACGCGAGGATACGTCGAGACGTGTAGACAGAGTTCTGAGATGGACTGGTGCTGGGAGAAGAGCGATGAAGAATGATCGATGCCGGTAGTTAAATAGGCCCGGTCGGGTGGATGGATCAGCTGGTCCAGAGGTGGGGTGCATGTCAGCACGTGGCGGTGGGCCGGATTCGGTGGACTGGATGGTGACTGGGCAGTGACGATTTTGCCCTCGCGCATGTTGTTTTCCTTTATAAATCTCTTGCAATGTTAGCATAACATGACATTAATTTAGAAAAGATGGACTACTATGGATCATTCAAAACAATAATTTAGACACTTAAAGTATCAACATATTGTGCTATGTACAATAAAGGTAAATATCATACATATGTTAGTATCATATCTATATGCGTGATACTAATATCCGACACGCCTCTATTATGACCAACCTAAGACGTGAGCTCAACTGGACACTAAAATGCACAGTATACTATCCTATAAGCAGGTCACAAAACCTATCTGTTCTGGAGAAACTTATCTGAATTTGCTACTTAATATTATTGGTTATTTGCCCACCTCCAATCAATTCAAATAAAAGAAGTTATGTCATCCATCCTAGTCCTTCGCTCCACTCTGGTGACTAGGGTTTTCATAGGCCTTTTCTTTGTGAGAGTCGAGACACAAGCTTATCCGCTCGTTGTCGACTGTTGTTGCCTCCTTCATGTTACTCGTCATTATTGTGTTTTTCTTCTCTACAACACAACCCTCAACAAATTCGTTGCCCTGCTATATTGGTAGAGCTCCAGCATTGACAATCGGTCATTATTTTCTCCTCCACCTCTGGCCGTTGATCCACACAAGCTCTAGGCTCCTTATGCTTCTCTAGCTTGGGGTGTTGACCAGTGGCTGATCGTCACCCTGCTCCTCCAGCCTCGACCTTTGACATGCATGACCTTGGTGAGGCGCTACAAAAATGGTGTTCACTTATGAATGTTGTGGTCGATACCAAAGTTTAAATGGTACTTTGGTATTCTATTTGAACCCGGCAAAATGACAAATATTGATTAATCGATCAATTAAAAAGGTTTAGCTACAAGATGATCATTCACGGCTAACTCAATATAGTGAGACAGTTATCATGGTACAACATGTGCATTCAGTCCCTCGGCTCCGTTCTCAAGAGCAATTTGGACATACACGTCCTCATAACCAACATCCAATTTGCCATATGTTTCTATAGCTTTTGCATAACACAGGACTCACGAGCACTTTCCACAATCGATATTTGGTTTGCGATGTGCGGCACGATGAGAGCAATGACAAAGCAAGCAAGGGGTGAAATGGTAAACTGACTTCATGAGATCAGTTTTTCTAAAAAAAGAAAAAGACCCTCATCCTTTGCATCAGATGATGCACACAACCATATATTGGCATCAAATAAACCGGCCTGCAAAGAACAAATATAAAAAACCCAAGGCCACCCTCTGGCGACTGTATCTCCAAAACAAACCACCGAATCTCATAATTATTTTTTATTTTTTGTGTTAAAGAAAATATATTAATATCAAGAAGATATCAATTGCGTTCGGACCGGTCGAGCTGCGTCGGAACTGGGAAGCTCGATCGCACGCGCACGGCCCACCGACGGTGGATCGATGGAAGGCCGGCCGGCCGGTGTTCTTCCAGGATAGCCCCACGGCCATCCCGCGTCCACCACCTCTCCGTCGGCGTCCACGCTCGCCTGCGCGCACGGGCACACGTACGATGCCATCGCGCCCACGAACGTACGCGCAGCGGACGGGCCGTCGTCTTCCTCCTCCGCGAGCTCCGGACACACCACGTTCCCGCACCGCACGCGCGTCCCTTTCCCCTCATCGCCTCACTGTGGGCGCGCGCCCACGCCGCTACGTTCATACGCGTACGCGCCGCGCGGCGTCCTTGTCCCTCGTGCATGCATTTTCTCCTCAAACACACACACAGAGACACGTACACTAGGGCTAATACCGAGGTGGTCCATGGCGTCGACACTACAGATAGATGAGATGATAACACTGACTAGGATCGGCCAATGCACACACGTAGCTCTCGGCGTTCAGGCAGACAGCCAGTCCACGCACGTACGGGGGTTGCCCACTGGCCCTCGTGGGTTTGTCCCTCACGAACCTAACTGCACTCGCGTATGGGATGGGATGGACGCTTCCGCCAGCAAAATTTGACACGGCGCGAGGGCGAGAGAGATGTTAGAGAGGAGGAACGGACGCCGGGAGTGGCTGCCGATCGGCGCCAGCTGTGCTGTCTGCGCAGCGTCGATCGGAGCAAACCAAAACAGAAAGAAAAAAAGAACAGCAGTTGGCCAATAATTGCAGATCTTCCCCTCTCCCTCTCTCTCTCCCTCCCTATGTTTGGGGAGAAGACGATGGAACGGCCACCAGACTCTCTGTTTGGTTTCAATAATGCGGTCAATGAATAACGCTTTGCAGCTCATACTACGTACGTCGTAGGAGGAGGACAACGCAGGTTGTTGGATCTGCAACTGCATGTGTGCTGAATACAATATAAACGTGTGGATTTTACACATCGTCCCGTTCCTCGCACTCGCCCAACGAATGAATGATTGTAGCTAGCCTTCTAGTAGGAATCGGTATGACTCTCGAATGCTCATACTCACACTGGGATTTACACATTATGCAGTCCCTTGTGCTCACCCCAGCCAGGATGATCACTGATAATGCTAACGCTGCTTTTGGGTGCGTTCATCGTATCGAGAAAAGGTTTTTGTGCCTATAAGCTTGATCCTATCAAAGGATTATGACCGGATGGACAGGGAGTACCTTAAGCAGATGCTGCAAAAGACTGGCTTCGCTCGGATTGACTGGATCTTGACATGTGTCATCACTGCGAGATACTCCATATATAAAATATAATGGAACAACCTCGAATTTATTTGCACCATCGCATGGGCTTTGACGAGGTGATCCACTTTCCCGTATTTGCTTCTCCTTTTTCAGTCATGGCCTTTATGCATTTATCAACAAAGAGACGTCTTGAATAACTTTTCACCGGCGAAGGCACATCGAAGAGCACTAGGAACTCCTCACTTTTTTTTTTACAGATGACATCCTCCTATTTTTTTCCTAGGAAAATCAAACGCGGGCTCTCAGAGTCAGAGGTATCCTTAATACTTATGCCGAAGCTACTAGACAATTTGATAAACCCAAGCAAGTGCTCCATTTTGTTTGGGGAATCTTGCCCTTGGGCAGACCAGAAAGCTGTTCGAGCAGCCTTACAAATTGAAGTTGCAGGATTTGAGGAAAGGTGCTTGGGGTTGCCAACCCCGGATGGCCACTTGGTGAAAGGAAAGTTGTAGAATTTGCAGGTGAAGCTCACCAAAAAAGCGCTAATCAAATCTATTGCACAGCCAATCCTTGCCTATCTAATGAGTGTGTTTAAAGTTAAACTCCCCTTCGGTTTGTGTGATGACCTCAATCAAATGATCCACAATTAGTGGTAGGCTTTTGGGAAAGGGGAGAGGAAAACACACCGGAGGGCGTGGAATGCACTACGAGCTCAGTTAGCTGCGCTGGATGAGGGTTTATCCCTAGCCTTCAGTGGAGTGGTTTTTCTTCTTTTGAGGACGAATGGCAGGTGCTCTGCCTTTGCATTATAGATAAAGAATGTACAAGAGAGTTGTCATTAGGTATAGAACAAAAAAAGAGGCCTGACCAAGTGTGGTTCAGGTGGGGTCTATGGAGGCTACTCGTACGTGGTTTAAGTCTGGGTAATTTCTCAATTCTGGTGGAGATGGATTGTTTGGAAGCATTTAATCTTCTAAAGGCCAGCGACACTGATAGATCAACATACACTTGCATGGTGGATGAAATAAAAGTGAAGCTGGAGGAACGAAATACTTATATTACTCATGTGCGTCGACCTCAAATCATGTAAGCCGTTTGTTGGTGAACTTCCATACTACCTCCGTCCGGATTTATTAGACCCCTCTTATTTCAGGCTAAAGTTTGACCATAAAGTTAACTAATAAATTAAAAATTATATGTCACAACAAGTACATTAGGGAAAGCTCTTTCAAATATGAATCCAACAATATACTATCATATAATTTATAATTTGTTAGTTTTATAGATGGTCAAAATTTGATCCAAAATACGAGGGGGTCCAATAAACCCGGACAGAGGTAGATGTCAGAAACGCACTATCGTTTGGTTAGGGTCTAGACCAGATGTGTTTGGTTAGGGTCTAGACTCTAGACCAGATGTGGTCGTAAATCGCTGTAACGAGGAATGTAGCCCAGATATTTGAGTAATACAAAGTATTTCCCCGCAAAAAAAATGAGACTCTCGAATGGACTCAAGTGCAGCATTAATCAGTTACAGGATCATGAGCTTTCTGCTTTGGAATTTCACATGAAACAGTTCAATTTCTGCATGGTTTGGACACAATTCCAATGCTCCAACCACTGTTTCTGGTGAATGCCACATTTGACAAATACTGAGTATAATCACTAGCTAAGCAGGTGTGAGTATTTACAATATATACGAGACAATTCCGCCAGAATGGGAGAAATGGACTTGCGTCCTACTTATAGCGTGTTCCATTCATCCTCATGCCCATGCTCATGGGACGAAGCAGAAGAACAGCTACCGCTGTGACTCGACGTCGCCTCTTTCCCTGTTTTCATTCTGTTGGTGTTGGCCCTCGGGGCCAGCCTCGGAAGACGCCGCCGTTGAGCCGCCCAGCTCGGACTTGCAAAGAGGGCACAGCGCGTTGATCTTGAGCCACTTGTCGATGCACTCCATGTGGAAGACGTGCCCGCAGGGAAGCTCTCGCAGATCTTCGTTGTTTGAGAACCTTGATAAACAGATGCAGCAAACCTGAAAGAGCCCAGAGGTTCGCAGGTGTCAGCTAATCGCGCAACGTGCCACAAATGTGTATGCATGAGCAAAAGATTCCACACTTGATAAGTGTGAAATGGAAAACGGGTGGGAAACTCACGGCGTCTTCCGCGGAGATAGTCCGCTCCTTGTCGGTCCCAGATGCCAGAACCCCGCCATTGTCTTCCCCCACTTCTCCTCCATCGCGGATCCTCATCGACTTGTACTTGTACGCCACCAGCGTGTTGATTACTTCCGCGGTAGCGCCTTTGTTCATATCCAGATCCTCGTGGAAGCCTACCATGGAGATTATGCAGGGCAGGCAACAGCATATCATCGTGCACAGGATGAATGGCAGTGCATAGCCGATGAAGCCGAATGCAAGGAACACTATACACAGCCTGAAAAATGATTACAACCAAATAAGCAAGGTATTCCGAGGTGAAAGGAACGTGCCACGCACAGCACCTAGCAACACACACCTGTACAAGTTAGGAGCGTCATGGACGGAAGAGCGGCCACCGAATATCCACACATTCCCCACAACAAACCACACGGCAAAGAAACAATCCAAGGCCAACTTCAAGCACGCAACCAATGCGTAGACCCTACAAGTAAAAAGTATCTTGTTACTTCGTAACTTTAAACATCAGGAAGAAGTCAAAACGTTGCATCTCATCCAGGGGGCAGAGTAAAATGATCTAATGTATTGGGCATTCCTGAAAGACCTAATGTTTACTCTCATTATTAGTTATGCAGAAGCAGCCAAATCGTCATAGCTAAACTGCTCTTGGAGGTGGTTCAGTCGAAGAGAATGTTCTTTTTTTCACAGGGGAAGAAAATGTTACCTTGGACTTGCAATCGGGAAATTGTTTCTTGGGACTCCAGTATTGTTATCTTCGTTTACAGCTTCTGATGCATGTGCAGATGAAATTGATGCAAAAGAATCAGACTCGGATATGTTCCTTTGAGATGAACCCTGGGCTGATGGTTCTTGCTCGATGTTCTGGCAATTGCGATGGAGATAGCGCCAATAAAGATGTGGAATAGTAGCAACACAGCCTATTATATAGCCAACAACCCACTCAAACAGTGGAGCGCGTGGATGCTCATTCCTTGATACCGACAGGACAGTAACAGCTGCTATAATCTGACTAACATTTACAATAAGCTCGATTGAGATCCATAAGCCAGAATTCAGAGGATTCTGCTGACGATTGACTTGATCCCTTCTCACGAAAGATGTGCTTCGAAAGTCAGGCATACCGGTTGTGCCAGAACTTTCTGGGACAGGAGGAACTTCATTTGAAGGACCTCTGTTGCGGTTCAACTCATCCAAGTGATTATGATTGTCCGGACGGGATGTTGATGGCGACGTCAGATCATTCCTTGGTATGTCGATTGTGTGATCATGACGAGTGACATTTCCAGGGTGATCCATCAGTAAAGGATGCTAATCTGGTGCACCTTCACACTGCGATTCAGCAGGAGCGGCTGTAAACTGGAAACCAAGCCAGCACCTTAGCTTGACATTTTCCTTGGTATGCAGCAGTTTCCGACAGAATGCTCTATATCTTTCTCACACACTCTGAACCGCGATGTGTTTCCCCCCTATACCACCTTCAGGTGACTTTTAGTGTACCTGAAGGAAAGGAAAGTTAATTGGAAACTTCAGTTCACTGCAAATCTGTGTCACTAAATTATGAAAGCCTTTGTATAAGGTAAGACATCATATTTAATAGACACGATTGCACTTGAAGGAAAGGCCATAGCCTGACTTTATGAAAGATTACAATGATCATATTTAGTGTGTAAGGTAAGCCTCATTTACCATCCCCAATTCCAATGTAATGTTGCAAATTTTGGCATTATAGAATCAACCTTTTCATCAACTGTATTCTGCAATCCTACAGCTTGACCACAAACCAATTATGCAAGGAAGAGAAAAGGATCAATCTACATTCCGAAGGCACGCCAGAAGTGAATGCCTTTTCCCAGTGGCATGCAACGAGTAGGAACTTAGGAACGATAGGATTAGTGGGTCCAATGTAACATCTACCAACCCTAGAAACAAAGATCAATTGTGGCAGACCAAGATACTAGTTCAAACGCCGCGTCAACACATTTAGCTCAAATCAGCATTACAATGAAAACGGAGGAAACAAAAAAAAATGCTGCAATAATGCCCCTCCTAATGATCAACGCTCACCATTCCCTCAATTCACCTGGCTGTCCGATACGCATGGAGAGCAGCAGCACCAGGGAAACCAAATCCAACGGGCATTACTCGTAGTCATAGAAGGAGCATCCATCTCAACCCAACAATGTGGCTAAGAAAATCCAATATTCGGCATGAACACAACCACAAGATCAACCCGGTAGATCACAGCGATTCAATCGAACCAGCAAACCCTGAACGCAAACCGGCAAACTCGGAGGCAAACAGAACCACCCCCAATCCCGACGATGGGAGCAAGGCAGTCTTTGTATGTGGCAAGACATCATATATCATTCGACAGGATTACATCTGACTTATGGAAGATCGCAAAGCACCAGAGCATTTGTGCAAGGCAAGCCTCGTTTACCATCCAAAATTTCAATTCTTTTTTTCCAAATATTTGGCAAATTTGCATGCAATCCTAGAGCTTGACCACAGACCAATCATGACAAACAGGCTAACCAAAATTCCAAAGGGAAAACCAATTGTTTTTCAAGTGGCATGCATTGGATTAGCCGACCCAATGTGACTAATACACCTACCAGCACCAGAAACAAAGACCAATTCTGGCAGGCCCCAAATACTATACTAGTTCAAACGGCGCCACAAAATACTAGTAGTTCAACGGAAGGAAACAAGAGAAACGCTCCTCCTAATCGTCAACGCCGCCAAATCACCGGTGTCGTTTGTCGTTTCAAAAAAAAAAAGCATGTGGAGAACAGCAGCTACAGGGAAACCAAATCCAACGGGCATATTACTCACGCCGTCTCAACCCAGCATATTACGTACGTACGTGGCTACGAGAATCCGATACCCTGCACGAACACGCCGACAGGAGCAGCCCGGCAGCTCGCAGCCGATTTCAATCGAGACGGCGAACCCGGAGGCGACCGGCGCCGCCCCCCCGATCCCGGAGCGAGGAAGGGAAGGGACGCACGTACCGGGCAGGGCGGGGGAAGGGGCGGGGCGTGAGCCGAAGCTTGGAGCTATAGGCCTCGTCCTCCTCTTGTCGTCGTCGTCGTCGCGCTCCTGGCGGAAAATTTTATCCTCTCTCCTCCATTTTTGTCTGCTCCGTCGGTGCTTTGCCTTATGTAGGTCAGCGGTCAGGGACGAACAGGTCAAGCGGGGGTCAAGCGGGGGCAGCTCGGTAATTACGGACGAAACGCATCGTGGCCGCTGGTGCGGCCAGCGGGGCGGGATCGGACGGCCGGGGGGAGGCGGGCGGGTAGGCCGTTGGCGCGTGCAGGATTAGAAACTTCTTTGTTTGAAAACGGAGTCGTTTTCCTCGTAAAAACCGTGTGGGATTAGGTAGAGTAACAGTAGGGGCGAAGGATTATTAAGCATTTTTTATTAGCAATAAAAAGCTTTCTTCTCCTTCGACTAATGTTAGGTAAAACAGGTACATGGCTGCTGCAAAACACATTTTCCGTCTCACAAATATAGCAAGCGCACATTTCAAGCGTGCGATTGTTCTATTTTTAGGGGTGACTAGTTAATAAATCTTTAAAATTGCTTAGCTTTTCTAAGAAGTATACATTTGTTATGTCATTAAATCCTGATGATTATAAGTACAGTACATAAATACATTTTCCCTCTCACAAAATGTGGTTTTGCGTTCCTGCTGCATATTGCCGCCCTTTCTACTCTTCCCACCCATGTATAGAACAGACAAGCTCAACTAAAAAAACAGGC